GAAAATATAGGACAAAATTCGACAACTTCGTGATGGCTCAGGGACCTCACTGAGGACCTCTGTGCTTTTTACTGGCTGTGGTCGTGCTGGGACAGCCTCGTCACGGCAGGGGGCTGGGGCGGGGAGTTGAGGCTGGTGGCCCTTCACTAAGTGCCCTGCGCTCCTTGTGCTTTTATAGGAACTTGGTTTCCTTTTCGAAGTTCTTTCATTCCCTTCCCGGTCGCACGGTGTCTGGACCATCGGCTGGAGTGTTTCATCCCTCCTGGTTGGGAGAGGGTTGTGGTATGGCCTTCGCTTGGCTCCTATGCCTGGAGCCCTAGAGACCCACCCCTTGAAAGTTTAGAGAGTATTTTTCATTGATCGCATTGCTGTTTCCCTGCTAGCACATCCAGTCTTAACAAAGCATCACACAGCACAGGAACTCCATATTTTGTAATAACATATGTGTGTGTGTGTGTGTCTGTGTGTGTATATATATGTGTGTGTACATACACACATATATGAACATACACACACATGCATATACACGCATACATATACACGTGTATGTATGCATACACGTGTATACATATTCACACACATGTACATACACATACATATATACACATACATATATATCCTGTTATATATATAAAACTGTTATATTCAGTGGTATGTATATATACATATATATAAACCGGAATCACTTTGTTGTATACCTGAAACTAGCACAACACTGTGAATCAACTATACTTCAATTAAAGGAAAACCCTAAATATCTGTGCAAAAATAAAAAAACCCCAAAATAAAGCCTCACAGAGCATAGCGTGCTTCTCGGGCGATTCCCCCGTGCACAGCTGGTCTTGGCCTCAGGGAGCTGATTCTTTCTAACTTCCTCCCTGACCTTCTATGACGGTGGCATCTGGGGCTTTAGCTGTGGTCCTCCTGCCTGAAGTCGGCTTCACTTTGCCAGTCGCGCACAGACTCTGTTTTAGCTTCTGGCCTCATCAGTGTGGAATGTGCTGCGGTAAACGATGGGCCTTGGAGCTGGTAGGAACCCTAGAGACCGTGGTGGCAAATATCCTGCTGCTCAGGGAGGATAGGGGATCAGGGAGGACACTACCCACCTCCCAGGACTGAGAGGGGAGGGGCTTTGGTGGTACCGAGAACTTTGGGGGACCAGAAACCTTCAGTGGCCAACATTTTCTGAGCACCTTCCAATGCACAGGTTTATAAAAGCAGAAGGGCACCAAGGAGCTCTTCATCTTTCAGAGTCACTGCTCATCACTCATAGTGGCTGAAGTTAAAAACACGAACGGAGGAATGATTAATAATATGATTAATAATGGTGCATTCATTTGATGGATGACTAAGCAGAGGAATCTCTAAGACCACAAAGGTAGATAGTTTAACGTTAGAGCAAAAATGATGGATTCAAAGACGAAAGTACGTTTTGTGCCCATACCATGTTAGAACTAGGTGAGAGCACATAGGTCAGAGTCGTGTGATGGTAATGGGACTGTGAGATTAAAACATAGCATTTCCAAACTTTCTCTAACGCTGATTTATAATTCCCGTTATGGGAAGACATACAAATAGGGACTTCCTTAGCGGGCCAGTGATTAGGACTTTGTGCTTCCACTGCAGGGGCCTGGGTTCGATCCCTGGTTGGGGAGCTAAGATCCCGGAAACCTCTAGGCCAAAAAAAAAAAAAAAGAAAAGAAAAGAAAAAGAAATACAGCAAAATGCAGCTGACCGTCATTGACACGACATAGGCCTTGAGTTGCTTTTCTGGGAAAGGGGATGATTTGCTCTATTTCCTGCTCACAATCTGCCCGTGAACGTGGGGCTGGTGACGTGGGAAGGGGTGTGGGACTCCAGTTACTGAACAGGGTCGTCTCCGCCCAGCTTTGATTTCAGCCTCCTTCACTCCATCTTCCAACTTTAACGGTGCCGAGTATCCATCTACGCGGCTTTTCCTCCTCTGCTTCATCCCCAAACGTCGCATCTTCCTTTTGTTTCATCTCCATCTTGTAAGCTGTTTTAGGACTGAAATGATTGCTGAGTATGAATGAAGAGATTCAGGACAAGGTACAGCCAAAGGCAAACCCTTAATTTTCACAAGGGTGGTTTATCTAGATTGTGGTTCAGCTGCGGACAACTCACCCCAGACAGCTGGGAGTTTGATTTCATTGCAATTTGTGTTTACGGGTGACCCAAGAGTTGGGTGCGAAGTGTGATGCCTGGATTGTCTCTCATCCTGGCATGAACTGGGATAAAGCCTGACACTGAGGCCACGCTGTCAATGTGTTGATGGGATAATTGAACCCTGCAGAAGGCAGCCACTTTGGTACTTGGCTTCTAGGCAGTCTCAAATGAAAGTCACTTCTCTTTTTTTTTAAACAAGATAAAGGATTTTAATATGTTTAAAGCAAAGTTTAAGAAAATAATCAGGTGGAACGAGGCCTTATGAAAAATTCCCCAATTAAGTAAAATAAGTACAGGTAAACAGGCAGAAAAATCAAATTAATACAAGGATAAAAAAATAAAATTTTGCTCCTAATTATTGCCTACAATATTGTTTTGTAAAAGAAAGCATTGTTTCTATGATTTGCTTGAGATTTCTTTTATTTTTTTCTTAAAGATATTTTAAATGTAGGTAATATATACCATGTTAAAAATTCACACTTTTCATTAAGGGATAAAATGAAATTTGAATTCCCTCCTTCGCTCTCTGGTCCCCTGGTCCCTGACCTGAAGGTAACCAATGTTAGCAGTTAGCAAGTCACCTTCTTCAAAGCAAACACTGGCCTGGGTTGCTAGTGCTTTGAGCATCGTAAAAGGGGGTGGCCGGGCCCGCTGATTGTGGCCAGCCCTGGGAGATGCCTGTCTGTTTCCCTCATTGTTCCAGAGAAGCAGAACTTCCTCTTTCTGACTGATTACACATTGTGAAGCCACACATTTTCATGGTCCCTTTACTCCTGAGCCAGCTGTCAGGCAGAGACAGGGTCTCCGAGCACAAACTGCTTGAAGCCTTTCATGTCTGGTTTCCTGAGTATGAAAAGGCAGGGCTGGTTCTTGCTGCCTGGTTTTTCATCTCTTTCCTAGCGGTCTAGCCTATCAGTGTACCCGGCTGCCCCAAAACGGCCACGGAAGGAAAAGGCTGAAAAGCTCTCCTCTGATCGGGCCTGTTGGGCTTGTTTGGGAAATTACATTAAAAAATTCGAAACTTGATCTCTAGACACTTACGGCCATGGGTGCTTTTAGCCTAACGGGCCTTTGTATTACATCTTAAAGTGGGAATTTTAATATTTATAACTGAACATTCCTCAGATAAATATAAAATTCAGATGCGTAGTTTTACCCAGTGCCCAATGCTTCTTCCTGTAACGCGTTTGTCAAGTGTTTATTCAGTCAACTCAGCATCGCGGTTCCTATGCAGAATCCATGCTGCTTGGAAACAGGCTGTGTGATCCTCACACAGAGAAGAGGAATGTGGGCTCCGAGCAGAGACGCAGTGCACTCAGAATCTGAGACCCTCGAGGCCTGCCGTCCACCACCCCGGGTCCTTCAAGACTCAGCACAATCATCTCCTCTCCTTGAACCTGTTTCTTGCCATCCCTCCCCACCCAGGCTGAGTTAGGAAGCTTGTGATCTGTCTCCTCACTGGGCAGGGAGCCCCTTGAACCAAGGCTCGGTCTCATTCTGCTTTGGGCCTGGTACGTGCAGGCACCGGACACCCATCTGCAGAGTGGCCGAGGGGACTTGTTCTGGTCTCTACAGGGATTTCTCCGCTTTTGTTTCTGATGACTCAGATGGCATGGATTAGTCTTGTTTGATCTGTTATCAGCGTGGGAAACGAACGTGCCTTGTGGACCCTTGACACTGAGAAGGGTAGACCCCCCAAGGCAAGAGGTGAGCATGGCGCGTCCACAGCGGGTTCTGGGTGAGCGCGGGATCCGCACCTCTTAGAAGTGCGGTGTTTGGAGCTCGGCGTACATTTGCAGAGTGCCTGCGTGCCTGAGTGAACTGATGTTGCGTGGCCGTGGGTACTTGAACTCTGTTTCCACTTTTGTGTCCCTCAAAGTCCGTGCATAATCACTAGAGAATGTGGAGGGTACAGAAGGGTTCTCAAGAAGCGGCGTGTTCCCTCCCTCCCGCCGCAATGGTGAATCGGTGATGCCAGGTCTGTGTTAGAAGACCGTCCCATCTCATGAGACTCCCATCTCTCCCCCCACCCCTGGTGTGCTTGGAGATCGTTGCCCCCCCCAGAAAGAGGCGTGGTCTGTATCAGCTACCAAAGCTGCCCGTCATGTGCAACTTGGCTTTTTAACAGAGCTCAGTGATGGGCTTGTCCCTCCTCTCCCTGGAGTGTGTGTGTTTGCAGAAGAGAAGGTGGCCAGCACGTTGTCCCGTAGTGAGGGGTGAGGGGACACCAACTTGCCTCTCCCCATCCCGCTCCCCTCTGCGTGAACAGCTCTGGAATTCTCAGGGCTCCCTAGCATCAAATCAGGGTCTCGTGGAGGCCCCCCTGGAGCCCATCAGTTCCATGGTCTCGGGGGGACGGGACAGGGTGAAGAGGTGGAGAGAGCCGTGATGGGGGTGGTGCTCACGGGAGGTCCGTGGGGGGCACTGGGCTTCCCCAGGTCTGAAGTGCGGGGAGGGGGTCAAAGCGTACACTCGGCCTGTAAGATGGGAGCGCTGCTCGGATGAAGATCAGTGCAGACACCCCACGTGGCGCCAAGTTGATTCATGCCCAGCTCTTAGAGATGAGCCTCCAGGCACTTCTGGCCTAAGTGGAAGCTTCCTCTTCACCCCAAATAACTGAGTAGTAGCCAGAGGGCAGATAAGGAAAGAGCGGGCAGGGGAGGAAACGGGAAGTTGAGGAGGGTAACACACAGAGGTGAAAAGAAACTCTGCATCAGCTTCCTGTCGGGGAAAATGTGGTTCTCCCTCGGGGAACAGACAAGCTCCCCGGATGGTTCAGGGAGAAAAGTGAGAGGAGACGCAAGGAACGCAAGATGCCTGCAGGTTAGAGCAGAGCAGAGAGGACAGAGGGAAGCGGGTCTGGTTTCCGGGGAGTGCTGGGCCCTCGCATTGGCTTGGCGCTTCTGGGTATGGGCACTTTTGTGAGGCCAACCTTCTGAGGCTGGTTCTGGAGGAAGTGAGTCATTGAAGACCCAGCTATACCCTGAGCAAGTTTGTCCCTCTGTCCACTTATGGCAGAACCTCCTCTGATGCTCGAGGTTCCAAAACAAGGGCTGGCGAGGACATTGTTTCAGAGTTCTCCCAGCCGTTTCCCTGGTTTACTAGTTCCCTGAGATGCCCTTCCCAGTGAGTGAATGAATGAATGATTCCCTGGTCATATGAGGTTAGGGGATGCTGCATCCCAGTTTCCCTCTGGAGAGTTACAGAACAAGTCAGCCTATCACAGGCTCTGAAATGCCTGCACTAAAGGAATTTAACACGTCCTCTTTCAGGCCAGCTGGACTGCGGACAGGCTTGCTGTATTTCTATTGCAAAACCACACAGACTACGTGTATGGGGCCCCCTGGATTAAAAAGTATATGCAGCCCTTAGAGGGTGGTCTTTGCCATGGACTTTTCCCCTCCTTTAAGTAACACCTCTTAACATCTTGAGAGATTCCTGCATTCTCTGGGGGCACAGCTCAGGAGACACTGGAGCCAGATACTGTCTTGCCCATCAGGGGTGTACAAACAGCACTACTTACACAGCATTTGTGGGGCAAACAGTCTGAGTGGGGTGGACTCGTGCCCACTCATCCAATCGGTCCTGCCTGGAACCCACAAAATCCTTTTGCAGGATGGTTTTCCGAGATAAGGATGCAGCTTGTGGCCACAGATAGAGCGTGAATTAGCTCTGCACCAAAGCACCATCCTCAGCCCCAGTGTTCTTAGCTCAGCGCTTTCTTCGGTCTTAGTGGTTCCCGTATTGGCAGGTGGTGGTGGGAATGCTCCAGGGTCCTTTAAAATGGTTAAAGGCCACTGATATGCAGTCCTGAACATACATAACAAAGAATCCTTGAATATACGTCGGAATTGAATGTGTAAATTCTTAAATCTGTGTCTTAGAACTTAAAAAAGACTGAAGTGACCTCCTGGACCTGTTTCCTATCTCTGAAGTAGTTAAAACCCTATAAACCTTCAGTGTTTTTGGGGGGTTTAGATTCTACGATAGCGGTTCCCAAACCTTGCTGCATGTTAGAATCCAGCTTTTAATTCCGCTGCCTGTGTTGTATCCTATTCCAATTAGATCACAATGTGGTGGGGTGGGGGCAGGGAAGAGCCAGGTATTTGAATTTTTTAAAGATCCCCAGTAATCCTAACATGCAGCGAAACTGGGGGCACTGACGTAGAAGCACTTTATTTTTATTATAACATTTTATTATAACGACCACGCCTCTGTGAGAGAAGCAGGACAGGAGCTCGTCCTCATCTCGTAAGTGAGATGACAAAGGTCGTACGGGGTGAAGAGACACGATCCAGGTCACAGATCAGGTTCCAGACAAGTGTCATTCCTTACTTGGGCCAAACCCGGCCAATCAGACTAGATTCTGGGGATGTTGGGATATGAGACCGGGGGGTGGATGGGAGGAACTGGGCTTGAAAACCCAGAGGATTGAACACGGGCCTTCGTGCCTGAAGGAGAAACAAGAAAACCCCTTCAGTGTCATGCCTCCTGCCCTAGCAATGCTGCCTCTGTCTGGGGACCACTGGTCTGCGTTTCATTTCTAGGGACACAGAATGGACCCTGCGTGCCAGAGTTGGAGGAAATTATCAGAGCCCACAGCTTGTCTTCAGACTTAATGTCGACTATTTCTCTCCTTTGATTTTCTTTTTTTTTTATAAAGTTATTTATTTTACGTATTTACTTTTGGCTGCGTTGGGTCTTTGTCACTGCGTGCGGGCTTTCTGTAGTTGCGGTGAGCAGGGGCTACTCTTCGTTGCGGTGTGCGGGCTTCTCACTGTGGTAGCTTCTCTTGTTGTGGAGCACAGGATCTAGGCGCACGGGCTTCAGTAGTTGTGGCTTGCGGGCTCTAGAGCGCAGGCTCAGTGGTTGTGGTGCACGGGCTTAGTGGCTCCGCGGCATGTGGGATCTTCCTGGACCAGGGCTTGAACCCATGTCCCCTGCATTGGCAGGCAGGTTCTTAACCACTGCGCCACCAGGGAAGTCCCTTTCCTTTGATTTTTAAACAAGTCCTCCCCGTGAGTTTTGAGGCTGTCTCGGACATTCCCACCCTTGATTGTACAGTATCCTAGTCTCTGCATCAGCAGGCGTGAGAACACCTACCAGTCTGTGGAATTGTCCTATCAGCCATGGAGGCTGTTATGGGAGCAGCGGGATGGGGCAAGGGGCTCTGAGGGGGATGCTGTTGAAACGAACGATTCACTAGTAACTGGGCTTCTCTGAAGCTTCAGGGCTCATAAACTAGAGGCTTAGAAGCAGGGATGAATGATCCCACATCCCCCAAATATCACCGGTTCAGAGCATTTTTCCACCGTCTGACATGATTGATTAATCCTATTGTATGTATGGGGAGAAGTACTCACATTTCTTACTTAAAAAAAAAAAATACACTTATTTTTATTGTATAATTCAATGTGTTTTTTGTTTGTTAGTTTGTTTTTGTTTTGTTTTGTTTTTGTCGCACCGCATGACTTGTGGGATCTCAGTTCTCTGACCAGGGATTGAACCCGGGCCACGGCAGTGAAAGTGCCGAGTCCTAACCACTAGGCCGCCAGGGGACTCCTGGTGCTCACGTTTCTAATAGCCCTACAAACGTGGAGGATAAGCCAGGAATTCCTTTGGTTAGAGGTGGGTAAGCAAGGACGGTGACCCCTTGGATGACATACTCTGTGTTGCTGGGGACTTGGAATGGATGGCCTGACATTCTAGGTCTTAGAAGGAGACACAAGGTGCTTCAACTTCCATTTTATCATCATTATTATTACATGAAACTCTCTCTAGCTTAGAGGACTATTTGAGCATTATTTCTTCCCTAGCTTCAGAAAAATGATATTGTGAATTCTCCTAAAAACGTATTGTCATGAAAGATTGCCACTAACACTTAGCAGTAAGGAATCCATGAGGCCTGGATCTGACTAGGTTTGACAAAAACTCGCTTTTTTTTTTTTTTTTTAAGAGTTTGAATGAATCTTTAGGATGCTATGCTTCGTGAGGTATATTATAATAAAACACTGACCTTGGGAGTGTTACTTATAAATGCAGTGGCGTTGAAGGTGACCCCCGTCAAGAGCTCGCTCCCTTGCCTTCCACAGTGGTTCCTCGATGAGGAGGGAAAAGGGGTGGAAAGTCTGGCAGTCGCTCACCTGAGGGCCGCGTTTCCCACCTGCACAAGCCGGTCCTCGTGTATGTTGCAGCCAAAAGAAAGATTTAGAGCTTACTCAGCCTCAACCAGGGCCACTCACAGGAGGTGCTCAAACCAGCAGCGGCGCCCGGGAGTGACTTAGAAATGCAAGTTCTCCAGTCCCCAGAGCAGCTCTGCGGAGTCTGCATCCTTGGGGCGGGACCCCGCCGCCGTGTTTTCCCAGGCTCTCCCGGGGTTTAGTGCTCACAGAGGTGGAGTGGCGTGGCCCTGGACCGATGGTTCTCAAAGTGGGGTCACAGCTCCCCACCTCACCCGTGACCTTGTTAGAAGCCACCCGATCTCTTAGTCCTTGGACGTTGGCAGGAGGCAGTGGACACATTCCCTGGGACTTTCCAATGTTCGCGGATGAACCTGTAAAGTAATCCATTCTCCGATAAGCACAGAGTCTTAACTGCTGGACTGCCAGGAACGTCCATGTCTCCTAACTTTGGATTTCATTTTATTCCCACTGAATACGGGGGATGGAAGGGCTATCATGCATGATGGGGGGGAAATCCAACATGTAGTTCCGATACCCTCCGACCCTTAAAGAATGGAATCATTGGCCGCGAGTGCCTCTAAATTGCCCGTATTTCTCGTTGCCGGTAGAACTGACAGAAAACATCGGGCTTCCTGTGAATCTGCTTGAGAAACATGACCTGTGGCCCGCCTATGTCACGTACACATCCCCGCTGGTGAAAAGACTGATTGAGAAAAGCAAAGCCAGAGACGTGGAACGCTTGCAAACGGCCGAGGAGAGCCGGCCGACATGCAGGCAGAGAAAGCCTCCCAGCGTCATCCAGCTGGAAAGGAGAAAGTCCTTCACGTCCTTAGGCAACATGATGTTCAAGGACGTGGGGTCAGAGACCATGCTCTCGGCGTGGGGCTCTTTCTCCATGTCGGACACGGGTCCCCCCGTGGTTCCAGAGCGCACCCACTTCCACGCGGATGCTAGGGCAAGTCCCACCGCCGACTACAACAAGATCATCTTCTCCCGGAAGCCGAGGATGAGGGTGCTTCCGTACCGCTCACTGCTGGCCGGCGAGGAGAAACACCCCGACATTTAACAGGGAGTCCCTGCAGCCGCCCCCAAGCTTGTACAGCAGTTAAGGGCCATTTGCCACATATTTCGTGACGGCCTTTGCGTTGGAACTTGCCCCTGCTCGGGCAGAGGTCGGCTGAGATCAACCAGATGGAATGTGGGCCACGGAGGGGGTGAGGGCACCCTGTCTGGCAGTGCAGTCATGTGCGGGTGGGAAGCCCCCGGGCTCTAGATCCTGCCAGAGATGCTTAGAACCCAGCTGGGGGTGAATCAGTCCTGGTCCAGGCAGGAGACAGCAATCACACCAGAGATCCTTTGATAGAAAGAATTTCTAGCCAGGTAGCTGCAAAGGCAGGAAGGGGGCACAGAGATGTGGATGGAGGGGGCGCCTGCAGGAAGCAGGCTGGGGGGACAAAGAGAAGGCGTTAAGAGTTAGACACTCGGAGAAGGGGCAGGTGGGCTGCATCTCAGCTCCCAGACGCTGGTGTCCTGAGCTCGCAGGAGACCCCTTTGGGGGTGGCAGCCCCGCCTCTGAGGAGGGGGAGCTGTTTGGCTGACGGACGCCCCGAAGTTGGCTCTGAGAGTGTTCGGAAAACCAAAATTGGACTCAAATATTTGTTTCTGGAAGGAGTTGACACCGTCCGAGTGAACGAGAATTGCTGGGGGAAACAGAAAGGGACAGGAAGCCGACAGAGGTAAACAGGAAACAAATCAGGAGCGAGTTCCTTCTTCTTCCTTCAGCCTCCGGACTCCCTCTGGCTCTTTTGATGGGCAGAGCCTCACCGGGAGGGGAGCAGAAATGTGATTTGCAGGATCCCAAGTCCTGCATCTCAAAGCAGAGTGCAAAAGGATGGGCTTGGAGCCAAGGGAAGATGAGCTCACTACCTGCCCGGTGGGGTTCTGGGCGATCCCACCTTGCTGCCCGCCTTGGCACCTGGTATTGGGATGTTTGCTCCTTGGAGGGTTTACAAAGTGGCAGTGGAGACCCGGGCGTCCCCTGCTGAGAAATGGAGGATTTTTCTCCCCTGTAGTTCTTTAAGTCTTGTGGAGCTCAGTTGGCTGGGGGAGGGGTTCCCGGCTGGACCCCAGCTATGCTTTGTCAGATGCAGCTGGCATTGGTCCACCCATGCTCTGAGCTGTTCCCACGTGGCCTCAAAGCAAACGATGCTGTACTCAGTCTGGACGCAGAAGACTCTGCCTGTAGACACAAAGAGACTCGAGTTATGACAGGCAGACCACACGGTCTCAGGCTTGGGGCTTGCCTGCTGAGCATGGCCTCATTGGTAGCATCTCTCTTCTTTGCCCTCACCTGAGTTTCTCTGCTTATATTTGTGAAGCAGTTAATACTCACCCTGTTTCCCTCACGGAGACATAGAAGATGCAATGTGCTAGTTGCTGGAAGAGGCTGAATTTTTGCAAAAAGAATAGGTGATTCCCAGTGAATCTGAATGACTGTATTTGGGTCCACGGAACATTTATAGACATGGAGGCTGGTGATAAATTCCCAACGAGAATTCTTCTCTCTTCTCTCCTTTTATGGGGGTTTATAGCCAGAGTATGTTTGGGAAGCTATGGATTATAGATCCTCATTGTGTTAGTGTTCGCATAGTTTTTTGGGTGTTTTGTTGTTTCTGTTTTTTTAAATCTCTAGGTGTTTGGCAGTTGTTACACGCATATACTCTCTAAGTTAAAATGGTTGTTTTATAGACAGTATTGTTTAGATTAGTTTAATTCTCAGCCTGTTACAACCACACAAGCAGGAACCAAGGACATACGCACTCTATGCTGTGATGAAAATGGCTTGTGTCTGTGACTGTGGTCCAGACGCATTGTCTCCTGAGGCCGTTTTTGAGAGAGAAACAGTCTAATTCCTTGGAAAGGAGGGAGTCCCTTCAAGGCCAAGCTGGGTTCGCAGGTCCCTGGGGGGGTGACTGTGTAAACAAGGCTGCAGTGCTGGTGGGTGCGGGCCGGGTGCTTGGCGGTGGCCTGGGAGCCCTCCACTTGGCAAGGGAGGCGGGGGGCGGGGCGGGAGGAAGGCCTCAACCCAGGGGCCTGGGGGAGCCATGCACTTGATAGACAGCAAATCCTCCTCTTCCTTTCGTGGGCCGGAGGACCTTGCTGTAGGAGGCGCGACTGCCCCACAGTCCCCTTAATCTTTTCTTAGGACATGGATAAAAGCTGGGTACCCCGAGGTAGGGATTTTGACCCCTGGGATTTGGTGGGCGTCCTGGGAGGTGGAGGAGAAGTCACACGTAGCCCAGGGACCCCAAGCAGGGACTGGCTCCGTGTCCCTGGAGACGGAGACCCGCAGCAGGGTCCCAGCCCCGTAGCCTCGCTCCGCGTGTCGGCAGAGGTGGTAAAAAAGATCGTAGAAGTGCTTTGTGAGATGTGGGCTGGCCAGGGTGCCCGTCAGGACCGAGCGTCTCTTTTCAGCTTTAGCTGAGTCATTCGTTCCTAGAAGCTTCTTGGAAGCCCCTCCTTTCTGGAGTGACGGGCAGGGGCGGCAGGTTATCGAGGCCACAGATAAGACAGGATGCGAGCCGGAGGGGGGAAGTAAACAGGGGCCTGGGGTTTACTGTGAGCTGATGTCGTCAGAGCCCGGACTGAAGCTCAGACCTGGGTTTGTGTTTGTCAAATAATCAGGAAACCCTCCCTCTTCCTCCTTCACTAACCCCTCCCCACCCGCATCTCTTCCCAGGGACCCAGCGCCTCAGCCAGCTACCTGGGCACTTGAAAATCACACTGCAGTGCCCTAAACCAGCGGGGCGGGGCTGGGCCGTGTGCATGAGGGATCCTCTGGGGCAGTAGGGGTGGGGGTGAGGGCGGGCAGGGCCGGCAGGGGATGCGGGAACACCCCAGCTTTAGGTGGAGCCCGCTGGCACCCCATATTCTGTGCCTTGGTCCTGACCATGATCCGATGTCCATATGGGACAGGGCGGGATAAACAGTGTCATGAAAATGACCCTGGGCTTAATGCCAAGACCCCCATCTCTTCTCCCAGGCTCTCTATTCCAGGGCAAATAAAAATTCCCACTCGACCTGAGGCCTTTCTAGGAAGCTGCTACTGCTGGGGGCCGGGCAGAGCTCGTGGTACCAATCCACTTCCTCTTCGGGTCTAAGTGTTCAGCCACCCAGGACCCTCCAATGCTTTTGGTAGACAAGGCAGGTGAGAAGCACAACGCTTCCAGCAAGTCAGCATGGTTTCTGCGGACCGCCAGTCAGGAGGGGTTTGTGGAGAGAGGAGTTGGTTCCAGAGAAAGTGGCGGCTGGAAGGAAGCTCGCCCCGAGGGCCACATGTGCGCCAGCACCTGTGCACACACTTCTGTGTGTTGCAGCGCGTCTACATCCATTCACTGTCCAGGGGCTTCTGTATGCTTTCCTAGCTGACCCTGAAGGAGGTGAGCCCCTCTGGGACTGGAACCCAGGCCCTCAAGCCCAAGTCTAGGCTGCCTCCCCTGTACCCGGGTCCCCTCCCCCTTCTCCCCCTCTTTCCCCTCCTCCTCTGTTTCATCACCGGCAGTCCTGCTGGCGCGTCCTCAAGAGGGCAGGTGTGTCCTGCCTGTGGCTGCTGACCCATCTGTCAGGCAGTGGCTTCACTAGAAGCCCGTTGTGTGTGACCCGTGAACCAGAGCTAACTCACCGTCTGCCGCTGGACCAGCAGAACTAGGAAGGAGGGTCTGGAAGGGCCGTGAGATCTGGACAAGGTCAGCCCTGCTCACGGTCATCTTCCCAGAGCTCGGCCCACAGCCTGGCACACGGTTGGGGCTCAATTACTTACAACACCAGGTCCTGACACCCGAAACAGAATGCATGGCGAAGCAGTGGTTTCTTTTGTAATATCCAGAGGCTGGAGAAACCACTTGGCCGGGTTGTGTAGAAAGTTTGAGGCAAGCGGCAGGCACCTTTGCTGTAAGGTTCCTTCTGGTCCTGACAGTGTGATTCGAACAAAGGACCCAGCTGGCACCTTGGACGTGCCCTTCCTTGTAGGACATGGGAGGGATAGAGTAGCAGGACACACAGTCTCCTAAAATTTAACATCTAGTTATTCTGTCCTTTTAAATGACCAATCCATGCCTGTCTGATGGAATTCCAAGTTAATTATACATATTTCCTCCGGGCTTTATCAGAAGGGACAAAATTTCATAGACCTAACAGTTTCTTGGGTGCCGATCGAGGGCACCCGACAGATATGCACTGGGTGCTGGCTTGTGCCAGGTACCCTGCTGGGGGCCCAGCCGTGAGCAGGGCAGACACTCAGGCTTCCGTCTGGTGGTGCAGACACCGGACAATCACTTCATGCCATCGCGGTTGCGAGGGGTGTTACAGAGAAGCACAGGATTCTGTGAGGGCGTTCTTGCCTTGAGCTCCTCATGTGCCCTCCCCAGGCTCATGAGGAAGGGATTAGAGAAGGAAGCAGGATTCGGATCAGGACAGCTGCTCATGAAAAGGGGTGAGGTCATGGCGCAAGTTTGGCCAAACTGAAGCGTAGTGGCCTGCTGAAGGTTTTGAACTTTGCAAAGCTGCCTTCAGTGTATGCTGGCCTGGCTCTCTTGTTTGTTTCTGTAGCACCATGGAGCTGTCCCCTGGCTGGGCCGAGGTTCAGGGCATGGCCTGTCCCTCCCGGCCCCACGAAGCAACACAGAGGCGGCGCCCACATCTGCACGCTGCTCACCCCAGGCCACTCACTTCCTGCCTTTTTGGCTGGAGGGCTGGCGAGGCAGCTTCAAGGCAGGCCTCTAGCCCCTGTGTTTCCCTGACCAGACCCCGGGCGGGGACCAGGCCCAAGCCCTCAGCATCTGGCCTCTGGCCCACTGAGCCTCACCTCAACTTCCCCAGGTCTCGGAGCAAAGAGACCAGTTCTGGCCTTCCGTGCTTTCTACCAGCATTTCCGGGTTTGTGGAGGTCCCTCTGTAGACCGGGGCAAGGCGTGCGCTTCAACCCCGGGGAAGGCAGGGTCCCTGCTCTACGCCCTTCCTCTTTCTGCCCTCGTCTGCAGAGCCTCTCCCTCCTTTTCTTTCCCCCCTCCTTCCTTTCCATTTGAATTTCATTGTTATTTATTTTTTTTGCCATTGCAAAATTAAATGACGCTTGTTTTAAGTGGCTCCGGCTCCCTGCGGTAGAAGGGAGCCGAGATGGCCCAGGCTCCACAAACTTTAGGAGAAGCAGGTCCCTTTAATGCCGGGATCGTGGGTCTCAGCCTCCCTCCTGAGGCCCACGGGGAGCGCCCAGACGCTCTCTGGGAAGCTCTGAGGAATGCTTGCGTAGCTCACGAAACCGCCCCCTCAGGGCCCCTGTCACCCTGGCCATTGTCTCACTCCAGAGCAGTTGCCCCAGGGTCCCAGGTCACTGCTGTCCCACTTCTCCCCAGCCCAGCCATCGGGTCCCCCTGTGGTTTCTCAAAGCACGGCTCTCCCAGGTTGTCGCATCAGCAAGTCTACCCTGAAGGCCTGGGCGTGGCAGAAGCACAACAGAGTAAATTACAATTCTATTGGAAGTGTCTCTTTTGGGAGGCCCACAGCCTAAATCTGAATGCTGTTCCCTGGTGAGGGCCAGCTCCACCTCCAATATGCATCTCAACTCATGCCCGTTAACTCAGAATCCAGGGCCAGTTCCCCCTTAATCCTGGAGCCACTGGAGCCACCTCCACCTTCCTTTCCCGGGTCAATAACCTCCCTCTTGGTCACAGAATTGCCACTGGGATACCAAGTGGCCCATTTCTAAGAGGTGGTTTAGTTCTCCTGGCCTGGAGAAGACAATCACAATATTCAAGAGAACACAGTGCAGTTGGGGCTTCAGAACAGTTAGCAGAGGGCTTTGTCTAGTCCTCTCGGGATCCTGCTGGCAGAATGTGGGGAAGTTATGCCTTCTGATGTCCAAGGGTGGGAAGCTCCTGGCACGATACACACAACAGCACCACCACCATCTCCATCAGCAGTTCCATCACCACCACCATCACCACCACCACCACCACCATCACCACCACCACCATCACCACCACCA